TCCAAAACATGCTACTTGCATATTCATGAAAACAATATTTTATATTGATAAAGAGGTTACAAACTACTGGATACAAACCGACTATTTTAAAGTGTTATATATTACATAACTTCCCAGGATTCTATAGTTTTATACATATGGGAGTGCAAAATACAATAGGTTCAAACTATTCAAAAGCTTCTACCGATACAATAGTTTCAAACTATTCAAAAAAATCTTCTACCAGTATATAACTATATTGGATACTTATCTCTTGTAATTTGTTAAACATTGAGAGGGTAAGCGGTGACGCTTAGTGAGTTCAATAATAGATACAGTATAACATTATGCTATATATATACTTCAATATGGCAGAAGCAAAGAGGAACAAGGAACAACAAAGGCATATGTGAATCATGTGACAAACATTCCATATCAATCATTGATTTGATTTAAAGATACACAATCAATGAGACATAACAATTTCTATGCTTCATATACATCAATAAAGCTTTGAACCAAATGGCACAGAAGACATACAACTTCAGATTAACATTTTGGTAGATTTCAGGCTTATTTCCCTGTCTAACCTTCTGCCAATACCATAGAATAGAAATCATTCTCTTACGAAGACATGTTCTACATGGCCAGAGGCTACATACCAGTACCAACGTGATGGTTAAAGGTATTTCTTTGCTATTAAAATTTGAGAAGAAAAATAATCTGGGAAAATGACCCGGAATAATAACACTGAAAAGCACATAGCACGTAAAACATATAACATACAATTGTTCCTATATATTAAACTCACCGTGAAATAACCGGGGGCTAAAATATTAATTTGGGCAACACTGCGGCACTAAATATCACTTTCTTCGTTGAAAACCGAGAGTTTTCTTAAAAACCAGGCTCTGCGAAGGTAGAGCTTCAAAACCAAAAAGATAAATTTTTCGGGCTTCTCGGGAGTCTCAGGGAGTGTTTCGGGCTTTGGAATCACTACCGGGGCTTCGGGGAAAGTCGAAATAGTAAAAATATCAAAAAAAAGGGGGGGGGGGGCGTGAAAGTGGAAATTTTCCAAAATTACCTGAGAGGTGTCGCGGGCCCTCTATTTATAGGGGAGGAGATCCAGAGTCGGCCGATTAGGAGGGCGAGTCAGCAGGCAAGTGGCATCAGCAGCGAAGGGCACACAGCAACAGTAGAGCGAAGCAAGTGTCGCGCATGCGAGGGGCCGGGTACGAGGCTCCGAAGTGTAACAAGGGGCGAGGTGTGTCGGACGCGCATTAGACCGAAGCTCTAGGCGAACCAGACTATGACGCGTGTCGGACACGAGGCGTGATCTCGCGAGGGTGACGTGGCCGACTCCAATCAATGCGAATTTCTCGGAAATTGTGCAAAAACTTCTAAAATCCACAACTTTCGCATACGAGCTCCGCTTTTGACGTTCTTTATATGCATGCGTAGCTAAAATTATTCTCTACAACTTTCTTTTAGACTTCGTTGGCTAATTTTGAATTTAGTTTTAATATTATTTTTTTTAACAGACCGGGATAGGAAAATCCGTTAAAAATTCATAACTTCTTCATCCAACATCTGTTTTCGTCAGACTTTTTATTGCTGTACTACTAATGACGAGACCTTCAATTCTCGTTTAGGTTGTGTCGACTAAAAATCACTCGATCTAAAATTCAAGTTTTTAGCTGTCAACTGTTAAGCCGAAACTTCGAAAAATCATAACTTCCTCGTACAAAGTCAGATTTTGCGTTCTTTTTATCAAACTTCTCGGTTTAACGAATACTGTGAATTTAATTTAGATTACTAAGGGAAAAAAATAGTTTATCAAAAAATCACTTTTACATCATTCGGTGTCGTGTCGGTTTTATTGCGGATCTTCGATTGGTCACAACTTCTTCGTTATAACTCGGATTTCGATGAGGTTTTCGCCTAAATGTTTCTAACGAGATTATCTAAAACTTTCAATAATAAAATTTTACTTATTTCAAATTTTATATTTTCGCTATATTTCACTATTTGGCTTTTAATTGGAATCTCATAAGACTTTCAATATTTTATGAATGATTCTAAACATAGTTTTACTTCATTTCTAGTAAAAACTATATGTTAGAACTCAACATTCAAATTCACATAATATTTCATAATATTATTTACTTAAAACACGATTTCAAAGCGTGTATGTTACAAACTGAATGCCTTGCGAGGCGGTCCAGTCAGGCTGAAGGCCCGGAGAGATGTCCAGATATGCTGAAGCCCTGTGAGGCACTCGAATCATGTTGAAGGCTATGTATACACTTTTTTTTTACTGTTATATGTTTTCGTGTGTTGCTAATTTGGGGGAAAGCTTACTAAGCATTTGACTTATAGTTTTGGGTTATGTTTCAGGTACATCAGATGATTGCGGGAAGGCGAATGCGTGATTGTGCACCTCCTCATGTTTTGATTCATGATTTTGGGAAAACTCTGATATTAAATATGTTTTGAAAACTAAATTGTAAACAATGATATTTTGTGGGTTGTCTTTAAAAGTTTAAAATTTTCATGAATTGTATGGACGTTACAAAAATATGAGCTTAAAAATGGAGAAAATGGATTAGGGTTTCTTCTAGAGGCTTTGTAGGCGATGGAGGTTGAGGGCGAAAAAAACCAATCCCCTTACTTCCTTTAAATAGTGCACAAGCCCGATAATTAGATTTTTCGCCCAAAATGGTCGCCACGTCGTGGCACCCAAATAATACACGCGGCCAAAAATTAAACTGCTACATCATGGCGATGCCATCACCATGTCGTGGCAACCTAGATTTTATAATTAGCTAAATAAAATTCATACCTCGTAATCTAGATGCTATAGGTTTACTTTTTTTTTTTTTTTTGGATTTTCTGTATATTGACTTGACACATAACCAACAAATAAACTAAACCTAGTTTTATACTTTTACTATAGTTCGTGAATTTCTAAGAAATTCATTAGAATACTCAAAATTTCATAGGCCACTAATGGAGTCCATGACTTCCGATGAAACCCCTTTAACGACTTTTTTCCGGATACGATCCAATTTTGTTAAACATTTAGGTGGATAGATGTAATGTAACACTCGTCATTTCAGGTAAGATCCCTTTTCCTTAATTTGTAGTTTTCTTCATGGACTTTAAATCTATGCAAGGTATAGATGGCATCTACGTGCTGCATAGAAAGAAAGAGGATGTGGGCCTTTAATGAACTACGTGGGGGCATAGTTAAGGAGTACGCAGGACGTACTCGAACAAAGTAAAAACCCTAATATTAAGGGTTTAAGCCATATTTATAAAACCTTAACTCTCATACACCCTTCCACCTTCAGCCTCCATCCTCCTAAACAACCCCTTGCAAACCTTAATATCCATTTCTGAAGTTTTTTACTCTTTTATGTGTTTTGTTCTCATCTTTTAAGGAAGGAGGCTATTCAAAAGCACTTATGAAGTTGCAAGCCTTATGGAGGATCCACCAGCTGCGCCCGGTTTCACAAAAATGTTTCCATTTGTTGTTTCTCTCTGACAGTTGATTATGTGGAGGATCCAATCACCCAATGGAGTATAGGAGGATATTCTCAAGCTTCAGGTAATCCTGTTTATCTTGCTAATTTTCTATATAGTTCCCTTTACTTTGGTATTTTGATGGTCTATATGATGTTTTATACTTTCTTCCTTGGAGCTTTTTGGTTTGAATCCAATCATCTTTATGGCTTTTGTTGCTTGATTCGGGTTTGAGATTCTTGGAATTACATGATTGGTGGTTCAGACTTTGGAGGTACCATTGCCTTAAAAGTTTCATCTTATGTAAATCCGACTTTATAACCTATCAATCTGGATGGTCTTACTCTTGGATGGTCTTACTCTGCTATGTAAAAGTTTATTGTAATATTGTATTTGTTGGATAAGTACTTTATGTCTACAGTTTGTCAATTTTCCCAACTTCATTGTTCCTTAGTCATTAATTTTACAAAATAAATGAGCAACTTTTCTAATATAAACAATTTATATTATTGTTACATAAATTAAATGCAAAATAATATTTGAATTTTGTAAAAAAATGTCGGTAAGGAACAAATCTAGAGAAAAAAATATGACACACTTTAAAAAATGAAATGTCAAAAGAAAATTATTTGAAAAAAAGAAACTAATTAACGCTTGGAAAGTATTTTCCAAAATGAAACTAATATTCGCCTGTTCATAAAAACCCTAAGAACTTTATAATGGCGTTGCAATTCGGGATAACTAGAAACATACCAGAACAATGTGTCCGATCTTTGTGGAATGTTATCGAGTTCCGATACATTTCATGTTCTTTAGACGATGACATGTTTCCGTATAGAAACTAATCGGTGAAACGAATATAATAGCCAAAAGAAACTAATTGGCTAAAGGAACTAATTTCCAAAAGAAACTAATCATTGCCGCAAAATCGATTAATAACATAATGTATATGTTTTGTGTTCCTTAAAATATAACATGTTTTCCGAATAAAGTAATCGTTGAAACAAACTAATATTCGAATGAAGTTATTCGCCGTCGCCGCTTTGTGCGGGTAAACGGCTAGTATATATATATATATATATATATATATATATATATATATATATATATATATATATATATATATATATATATATATATATATATATATATATATATTGTTGGTTTATCAAGATTGTATTGTAGTTTTGTTTAAAAGAACAAAAGAAAGATTACGTTTCATTAATTAATCTTATTTCTTAATGATTATCAAGTAAATTATTAAACTGATATAAAAGAAGTACATAATTAAATTTGAAAGGAGAACATGTCCAGTAAGATTTTGCGGTGATGTGTTTTAAGAATAACAAAACATGTCTTCCACATGGTTACTTTGCTTTTCTTATTCCACCCCCTCTGCAACAACATAATTTCATATTAAACTTACAACTTCCAAACATGAAATACATTTAACAAGAACAATAACCAGTTTCGATTTCTATTCTCTAGAGAGCAAAATGGCCCACGGGTTATGTCTTGAAAATCTTAAGATCATGATTTATATCACGATATCTTCAGTGTTGCTTATATTGTTCATACAAAGTCTACACCGGAAAATTCCCTCAATTTCCATCGAAGAATTCTATGTTAATACCCTTAACAACACCGCTACCGGAAACACCACAGCCACCCCCACAACCAAGAACACCACCATCTACTTTGATCTTAAGCTTGACAACCACAATCCGGTGGGAGTGTATTATCGTCCAATGAATCTTACTTTTTCTTACTTTCCAAACAAAACCACCAATAGTAGTATCCCCTTAGCTGTGTACACTTTACGTGGATTTCATCAAGACCATCACAAGGAAAAGCACGTCCGTGACACGGTGATGACGGGTGGAATGATGGTGCAGCCTGGTGGTGGGAGTGTGGTGGTGATGAGGGTGGATTTGGTTGGCAGGGTTAAGTTCAAGTCTATTGCGCAATGGAAGCGGTCGGTGGTTGTGGGGATAGACGTGGAGGTTGATGAATTCACAGGCGAAAAGCTTAAGAAGAATAGCATCAAGCTGATCCCTTCTGGTGCAGCACAGGTGGTAGATTGGATCATCTGTCTGCCGGCGCCGGCGGTGACGTTGCTTATACTTACTTGTTCTTTTAATTTAATGTTTCTTTAAGATGTGGTTATGTTAACACTTTTTTCCAGATATAGCAAACATTAATGTCCATAAAATGAGGGCCATTTGTTTTGGTTTTTTATTCTAGAGTTGACCAGGTTAGTGATTTGAAATTAATGCATGCTAGTTAAAGCTAAAAATATGTCAAACTTGCATTTCTATATCTTTTGTTTTTTTATCAAATGATATTTTAAATATGAGAAAGATGAAGAAAAAGGTTTTTCTGTGTACAAAGAAGACAAAACTACATCATTTGAAGATTTTTGCATATGGCATATATAATGGAATAATGGTATGGTACGTATGGATGACATAGGAAATAATTGACGTTTTCTTAGTTTTAATGAATTTGAAGGCAATGAATTAGTAAACTATGATACCTTATTTTATAAGATAATAAATAAATTGATAATGTTTCCGTTTCGATGAATTGAGATACGACTCATGAAGGGCTTTTGTAAATGTGGGACTGTACTCTCATGGCCTTTTCATTTAGCTTATACTTGAAAGTTACTATCCTGCATGCTTTGCGGGGAGTCTACTCATCGTTCTTAACTCGGATATGTAGCAGGCAGGATTGCTTACCAATTTAACAAAGTTTAACCCACAAAAAATTTAGCTCGATAGAAACGTACATAGCCCACTTAAATTTGACTAAGCAAAACTTTTTTATTATGTACCCTATTTCCCAATTTTCTTTCTTTACCGTTGCAGCGAGGTAAGAAATCGCAGACACACACATGAGTCCTCTTTTTCTTCTTCTTGTTCTTGTTCTTCTTCTTTGTCCGAAAATTTGGGGCTGTTTTGTAAAAAGAATAATTATTACATATTAGTTTATAGTTTATTAGCTTATTGGTTTATAAGTTAATAAGTTAGAGGGAGATAAGTTATGAAAAAATGACTTATTAGCAGTTTGTCACAGCTATAAGTTATTTTTATTCAAACACTTTTTTTAAGTTATAGGTATGGAACCACTAATAAGTTAATAAGTTGTTTTGTCAAACACCCTCTTTGTATGGGTCGTGGTTCTAGTTTGGTCGAAGAGATGGTATCGATGGTTTGTTGTTTCTGGTATAACAGAAAGTTAGGCGATGGTGGCGATTTGCATTATTGGTGGTTCACAGTGGAGGTGAAGATCGAGGTTGTAGTGTTTGAAACCGGATGAGATGGGTGTGGTATTTAGTTAGTGGTGTAATGTCATCGGGGTTGTGATTGGTAGTCAATGTCGTTTGTTTCTGGTGGGGCTGTTTTGCATTATCATAATCCGTTAAAGGAGGTGGTACAGTGGTGATGATTTTTCTCGGGAAAAGAGATAAGGTTCAGTTGATGGTTAACGAAGAAAGAATTAGCATTGGCGGTGGCCTCGGTAGGTAATGATGGTGATCTTAGCCCCGATGGTGCTGGATTTGGAACTGAGATAGGGATAGGTGGGTATGAGTTTTTTCACGAAAATAGGAAGTTTTAGATAGGATGCAAGAATAGGCGGTGCAGAGTCGATGAGCCTGGTGCGATCCTGCTCCGGTCGGGTACTAAATAAGTGCCAATGGCTTTGGTTTTTCAGCAAAACATGTGAGGTTTGATGGGTTGTGTGGTTTGGATCATGGTGACTCACATAAGAAGATGTCGTTGACTTGAAACTAGGACTTGAAGTGTATGAACATACATGGTTTTGGTAGTTAAGAGGGTAGGGATTAAAGATGCTCATATTCTAGTAATTTCTTGTGGCAGAATTCAGAAAACATAAACATAAAATTATACAGTTAATTTTCATTTTCAGATAATAACCATCCCATTAATACATCTAAAACTCTAAACTAAGATATTTCATTCCAACTTTTAAGTGGCCATCCAAGTGTGAAGATAACCAATTTTTTTTTTTTACCGAAATCAGTTTTCTAAAAATCGATTTGGCTTTAAATCATTTTTATTGGTTTTGCTTAAGTCTAACTACTTTTGATCGGCATTTTGGGTTTCAAAGGGATAATTGGTCTAAACTGTTTTGATTATGGATTAACGGCTTTAAATAAGTTTTTAGTTAATATTGTAAGGTTGGGCATTATAATCCGACGAGTCAAACTGATTTCACACTGATATATCAATGTCAGCATATCAATCGTTGACCATGACTTCTCACGAAAGAGTGAAGATTATTTTTGCAACTAAGTTCCAGATCTGTTATCTTTGTGATAAGATCTTTTATTTGTATAGTTTATTATCATTGTATAGTTATATTTAAATCCCTGATTTGTAGGGATTTCGTATTCTAGAATAGTTCATCCTAGTATATAAGTTATGTTAGTGTTCTTGTAAAAACTAGTTGCTTGGTTTTTGATTACTTTGTGTTCTTTATTGCTTGATATTTTTTATTACGATCCTTCAGTTGGTATCAGGGTAGGTTTTGATTACATCAAGTAATGTCAACTTCCACTGGAGCTTTTAAACCTACTATCGCTTCAACATCTGCAAATAAAATCTCATTATTCGATGAAAAGAACTTTGCTATGTGGAAAATCAAGTTCATGGTTGTTCTCGAGACCATGGATTATATAATAATGGACATCATCTCTAAAGGTCTACATATTCCAGTTTTTCAAGAAACTAAAGATGGTGTTGCTCGTGAATTGAAAAAAAAACACATGTACATGCTTAACCTGAAGATGGCAAGAAGATGATCAATTTGGATGTCCGTGTGCGCGCTGCTATGAGAAATTCTCTTCCTTATGATATATATCAGCTGGTTCATAACTATGTTTCAACCAAAGAGATTATTGATACGTTAAGTGTGGCTTATAAAGGAACTGATGAAGTTAAGGCCACCAGGGAGAACAGTCTGAACATGAAGTATGAACAATTTTTCGCATACTGGAATGAATCCTTAACTCAAACTTTTAATCGTTTTCATTGTTTAATTAATGATATGTGAAGATCTGATATACTCAAGCATGAATAGGTCGTGGTACATAAGTTTTTAGATTCCCTAGATGATAAGTGGGAACATCATTTTGATGTTCTAAAAAATAGTGAGAAGATCAAAACCATGGATCCTTGACTTTACGTAACTCTGAAGAGACAAAAAATTGAAGTAGAGAGATTATGAATGGAAATTTCACAGACAAATCCTTTTTCGTGTTTTCCAAGAAGACTAGATTTATTCCTAAAAATGAAAAAGATGTCTCTGAAGAAGAACATTACATTGATTTATCTTCAAGTTTTGTTATGATTGTGAAGCATTTTGGCAAGTTTGATGAGAAGAAGTTCAGTAAACAATGGAATTCTCAGTCCAAAATCAATCCACCAGTGTCTAGAAATTTGATGCTAGTAGCTCCAGGAAGTTTGTTGTTGAAAAGAAAGATGAAGGAAAATTCTCCAACTATAAAGGTGTTGATCACTTTGCTCGGTATTACACGTTTAACAAGAATAACACTAAGGAATAATCCTATGAGACATATTACAAGAGACTGGTGGCTTCCCTAAAGAAGCAAAACCTGGAATTTGAAGTCTTGATCAATGAGTGAGTAGACTGGTTTGAAGAAGAGGAGTCCTCCAGTAAAGAAGCTAAGAAAGATGTATGTCTGATGGAATTCATTGATGAGTCTTTCACTGATGTATTAAGAAGCAGCTCAAGCACCTTTGATACAAATATTTCAAAAGTTGGCATTGACTCAAGGGCTTCGAATTAGGATTCTTCCTCTTTGTATCACGTTAAAAACTTTGCAACCTACTCTAATAATGAAAATTCTTACATGTTTGAGTATTTGTGTTTTGACCTTTAAAAATATAATTAGGATATTCAAAAGCTTAAACATAAAATTGAATCTTTGAAAAATGATATTTCAATACGTAAGAAGTCTCTTTCCTTGATGAGATCTAAATTCCGAGCTGAGTCTCTCACAAATCATGAACTAATCAGTGAGAAAGACTCTTCTCAACGTCTTGCTCAAAATTGTTAAAGTATAATTAAGAATTGGGTTTATTCTCATTTCAAAACATCTAAAATAATTAATGATTAAATTCCTAATCAGTGTGAAAAGATAAATGGTTGAAACATTGAAGAAGTAGTTGAAATTTTTAAACAAATAGAAACTAAACCAAGTTTTCCAACACCAACTGAGCTTCTTCATGAATACAAAACTAAATTTGTAAGCAGTGGTTTTATAGATCACCAATACCTTATAGACAAATATTGTGTAACAAAACCTGATGGACTTGCCACTTATGTTACTCCTCTAACTATTATAAACCCTTCTGTAAAACCCCCTAATCGTGAATATGTAAGTCCTAACAATGCTACCTTAATCAAATTTTCCATCTCCAGTGGTGAAATTCATGTTGTCAAAGATGTGTTGTGTGACTTTCCTGAATGCACAATTAGTGGTTACGACAGTGATTCATCGATTCCAGTTCAGCATCTTCAGACACTAATAACTCAAATGTTCTTCATCAACACGTCATGTCACTGAATTTACATCTTGTAGCACTAACACTCACATGTTCCAAGAGCAAAAGAAAGAATTTTCAAATTAAATAAATGTGTTTCATCTCCCTAGAAAACAAAATTTATTAAAAATTAGAACTCATGTTCTTAAAAGAAAATTAGTTTTGGGATACGAAAGTGTTATATATGTGGTGATCGCTCTCATAAAGTGGGAGAATGTACATTCGAGGAATCACAAAAATAGCTCACAATATTCTAATTTGTAACAATAAATATATAAAAAGGATACTTCATTAAACTGTCTTCCTACGGAGTGCTACGATATTTTTTAATTCTGCTAATTCTTAAATTGTCAAACCCATTGCAAAATGGGTTCAAAAAGTACTCTAAATGTTTATAAGTGGTGTAAGGTCAAGAGCACATTTGGTATCTTGATAGCGGATGTTGTCAGCATATGACATGATTCAAGTCTTTCCTGCAGGATTATGTTAAGAAAGATGGTCATGCAGTCACTTACAGTGACAATGGCAAAGGAAAACAAAGAGATATGATACAGTCAAGTGCA